TGGGCCCCGTGCCTGGAGCTCCAGGCTGGCAAGAGGAAGAGCTGAGGGCCAGAGGGAGGCCGGCTGCTTTGGAGAGGCGTGTGCATGTGTAAGGAGCCAGAGGCCAGGTCAGGGTGTGGGACTGCAACACTGCAGGCCCGGTGGTGACATCCCCTCTGTGAGGGGCCCTGAACTTGTCTTTTGTTCTTCTGCAAGGTTGGAGTCTGTGGGTTTCGAATACATGAAAAGAGCAAGAGAGATCTAGATGAGAGATACAGATGCGCAAAAGATCCACATGGAGTCTTCACGTTTGCCCATGCATTGTCTGAATTTCTCCTGCAATTCTGGGCCATCCGCACTTATGTCTGGTTCTTTATGGAAATGGCATCTTGGAAATACACAAAATAGGTGCTAGCTGCAGCCAGAAAAGGGTTCTTTTCACAAACAGAGCTGTCTGGGAGCAGGGAACCAGCTGAATAGACCTACAAGCAATGTCATCAGGACCCCTGTTTGCCAGTGTCCCAAGGAAAGAGAGAAGAGTGGCATGAAGAACCTGTGTAACCCCATGCAGAGCTCTGTCCTAGGGGAGCATGACACAACAATAAGGGTCTCACCTCCCCATCACTGCTAGAAAGCTGGGATGCACGTTGAGAAGAACCTGAAACCCACAGAGGTTTGGTGCTTCTTGCCACACACTGAGGAAAACTCAAAAGAATTATGCAACTGTACCAGAAGAAGATGAGTTTTTAGAGGGTGACTCAAACCACATTCTTTCCTGTGGCAGGAACTAAGCAGAAGCATGCAAGAGGCACAGGAAACCCTAGGAGACCACCCCCACAGGCACATCACCAAGTACTGCACACCCAGCCACAAATTCTACTATACCCCAGGCTTAGTGGACATGGGGAGAAAGCCCAGAGGGGAGGGAGCACCCACCACCTCTCAAGGCAACTTCACAGCATGAGCAATAGTGAAGGTGAGACAAAAAATGGTCATGCTTGTCACAGCCAGACCCAGGTCATCATGGCTTTCCCTTCCCCACTCTCCCCAGGCTGCCAGCAGAGAGCTCTGGGTATGGGCACCTGAAGAAGGGAGAGGAACCATATGGGAGTCCCTGGTTCCCAGGTACCTGGTATCCAAGGATCTCCCCTTTGCATGGGGGCAGCGCCTTCCACCTGAGGAACCCCGTGCTGGGATCCAGCTGCAAGTCCTCGGGTGCATCTGGCACTGGAAGCACAGGAGAAAGAGGCAGTGAGGAGGGTGTGAGCCCAGAACAGGCTACAGGCAACTCCTGACCCACAGGAGAGTGAGGAGGGGATGTGCTGTGCCCCAGCACCTGCACAGCACCTTCCCCAAAGCCCCACAGGCTCCAAACAACCCCAGTACCAGGACTATCCCTACAGGGAGGGATCAGATGATGAGGCTGAGCTGTGGGGCAAAGGGGATATTGACCCACCTCCCCTACCTGTGACCCAGCCCAGGGCTGTCCCTTCTCTCTATACTCTATACACAAACCTGTTTCTTCTGTTCTGGCCAACCAGGAGTACAGGATGGTGCTAGGGGGCAGGGAGATGGTGACACTGTAGAGAGTGAAAGGCTGAAGAGACTGACAAGTGAATGTTCCCTCCTGGCCGTGTAGCCTCTCCTCTCCCTTCACCTCCTCAGCCTCACAGGGAGCTGAGGAGTGCTCTGCCAGCCGGCACATGGCCAGCATTTCCTGGCAGGTGTCAGGGAGCCTGCAGGTCCAGTTCAGTTTGATGCTGGTGCTGGAAGTCTCCAAGGTCCCAGGGATAACCTGGAGGACATCTGTGAAAGAAACAGATCAAGAAGTTCACTCCCATCCCTTACCCTCCGTTGCTGCAATGGTGCTGTGGCCGGGCAGCCTGGCTCCCCACCCAACCCGGAGCAAAGGACAACCAAAAGCTGAATCTGGTGGGGAAGCAGGAGGAGTTTGGGGTCACTGGGTGCTATGAAGCTGGACATGATCCTTTGTGAGGATTCTTCCAGTGAGACAACAGACCCCAGTCAGTAAAACATCAGGACATGGGGGTGGGAACAGGGGGAAGCACATTGTGTCCCCAGCTTGGCTACATCACAGCTCACAGGTAGCTACAAACAGGTCCTTCTGGCCTCATGTCCTCTGAGGTGTGTGATTGGAGTCAACCAACCCGTGGCTGGTGCCACAGGAGAGCACAGTGGGATTAATTTTATCCTGCCCTTGCAGGGGATGCTTCCAGATCATCAAATCTCTTGGAAGTGGCCTCAAGGGAAAAGCAAGACCTCCCCTTGTTGACCTACACCCAGACACATTCCCTGCATCTGGCCCCTGCACAGTACCATCCTGCTCCTCATGTGTCCCTTACCGATGCACTCCACTCTGGACTTGATGGGGATCCAGTTCCCTCTGATGTCCCTTCCCTCCCATGAGTCTGTGTATACAGGTTTCCTGTTGGTGCTGGACAGGACCTTCGTTGCACATTTGACATGGCTGAAGGATGGCTTGAAACCCTCAGGGCAGCTCAGCATCACTTCTTCATTCTTTTTGAAATTCTCCTGGTCTGGTGTCAGCTGAAGGTCTGTGTCCCACTGTGGCCTTTGGCACATTTCTGGCTCAGCTGTTAGTGGGTGTTAGTTGGGGTGGGAAGTGACAAGTTGGGTCAGGGGTGGGAAGTGACAAGTTGGGTGATAGGATATCAACAATAATTCAGTTTGGGGCAGAGCAGGGCAGCCAAGAAAGCTCCTGATGCCCCCCTTACCGATACACTCCACATGGGACTGAATGGTGATCCAAGAATCTTGTTTGCCTATTCCATGCCAGACTCCTCTGGAAGCATTATTCCATTTGCCGATGGACTGAACCTCTCTCAAACATTTGATTCTGGTGAAAGATGGCTGGGAACCCCTAGGGCAGCTCAGTTTCACTTCTTTGTTGTTCTTGTAAATCTCCCAGTCTGGTGTCAGCTGGAGACTTGAATCCCACTGGGGCCTTTGGCATGTTGCTGTCAGAGCTGAAAGTTTGTGTTAGTTGGGATGGGTGGGGTTGAGGAGGCACAGCAGGGGTAGGTGTTGGGGTATCAGGAATTTCCAGCAATCAGTTCAGTCCCTGAAGGGTTAGGGAAGGTGACGGGTCCATTTGCCATGACATGACCCCTCAGCAAGGCTTGTTGGGAGGGGGCTTGCCTCGTGCACCCAAAGAGTGAAGAGTCACTCATCCATGAGCCTCCCCATCCACCCACTGCACAGATGCACAGAATTATCCTGGTTGGAAAAGACCAGCATTGCAGCCTTGCCAAAGCCTGTAGCATTGCATGAGGTTCTTATGTGAAGAACCCATCAGCTGACCTTCTTAAATCTCCTGTCAATGGCCTTGGCCCATTATGCAGCCATGGACACACTTAGCCACCCCTCACAGCCCACAGCAGGGAAGTTCTCACATTGTCTGTTCATGTCCATCCCCCCGAGCACTAGGCTGCCTCTGCACAGCCATCCACAAACTCAGCAGAGCTCTGTCCCTAACCAGGGCAGCCCCACAGCCCATCACCTGAGGAGGAGCATTGCTCTCACCCCATATGCATCTCACACAGTCACCAGGGACAATGCCAAGGTCTGACCCAACCTGGGCACTCAGGGCTCCCTTTAGTCTCCTACACTCCATCTGCTGGGCTACAGATGTCACTCACCTGCACAGGGGTGGACAAGCAGACCTGTGTAATCTAGGGTGGCACCTGAAGGGGCCGCAAGGACCAGGACACCTCTGTGGACATGTCTTCACTAGCCCTGGATCCTGCCCCAGGCCCTGGCACCTTCTGCAGAGCCCCATCCTTGGCACCTCCACCAGGAGCCTCCCCCCAGCCCTGATGGCAGCAGGAGGCCTGCACACGGCTGTGGCACCAGAGCCCTCCCCAGCACGGCTCTCCTGGAGCCTGGGGCAGGCACAGGGCAGGCTCAGGGGCTGCCTCCACACTGCCTTCAGCAGCACCTGCTGTGTCCCCAGGCAGGCAGAGCCCAGAGCCTCCTGTGCACACACAGCCTGCTGCTTCCCCTGCTCCGGGGGGGCAGCCAGGAGAGCTCCTCATGCCTCCCTTACCCAGGCACTCCACGCTGAACTGAATGCGGATCCAGTCACCTCTGGTATTCTTTCTGTCCCATGAGCCTGTGTATACACGATTCCTGTTAGTGCCTTTCCTTGCACATCTGACATGGCTGAGGGATGGCTGGAAACCCTCAGGGCAGCTCAGCATCACTTCTTCATTCTTTTTGAAAGTCGTCTGGTTTGGTGTCAGCTGGAGTCTTGAGTCCCACGAGGGCTTTTGGCACGTTTCTGGCAGAAGTGAAAGTGGCTGTTAATTGGGGGGGAAGGTGACAAGGTAGGGCATGTGTAGATGGTGGTGTATGATCAGTCATTTGGTTTGGGGCAGAGCAGGGCAGCCAAGAGAGCTCCTCATGCCTTCCTTACCCAGGCACTCCACGCTGGACTGAACTTGGATCCAGTCACCTTTGTAGTCCCTTCCCTCCCATTGGTCTCTGTATACAGATTTCGAGTTGTGGCTGAGCTGGATTCCTCCTAAACACTTGACATGACTGAAGGATGGCTGGAATCCCTGGCAGCTTAGCATCACTTCTTCATTCTTGAAGTAAACACTCCAGTCTGGTGTCAGCTTGAGTCTTGAATCCCACTTGGGCCTTTGGCAATTTTCTGACAGAGTTGAGAGTCAGTGTTAGTTGGGATGGGAGGGGTTGAGGAGGCACAGCAGTGGTGGGTGTTGGGGTATCAGCAATCCCCAGTAATGCCTGCAGTCCCTGAAGGGGAGCACGCGGCAGCGCAGAAGAGAGAG